AATCATAAATGTTGTCAATCATAATTGTTGTCAATCATAAATGTTGTAAATCATAATTGTCGTCAATCATAAATGTTGTCAATCATAAGTGTTGTCAATCATAATTGTCGTCAATCATAATTGTTGTCAATCATAAATGTTGTCAATCATAAATGTTAGTTTTCCCCCAAAGAGGAAAAACGAGAATTATCCGAAGAAAAAAGGAAGATTATCCAAAACTGCTTTATAGAATCCAAAACAAGTTAACAGTCATGTTCTTGCAGCATCATTTTACGTTTAAACTGTTTACCATTAATTATTTATTCAAGTACTTACAGGAACACGCATGAAGCATAGGACACAGTGTGTAGGTGGGGAAGTTGTCTTCTGCAAAGATGCTAACCGCCAATGTGACTCCAGCCTGAACTCATTTTTTCTTCTTTAGTCTTTCGTTTCTTCTTCCCTCCCATGCATCTTGACCAGCAGAAAGGAACATGCATCCAGACGTCCACTGTCGAGTTTAGACTTGCTGCTGTTTTTAAAGCTACTTATAGAGGCTCATTTCCATCTTACCGTGCTCTGACCACAAAGCAGGGCATGTGCATCAGTTGAGAGTGGGCTGTCAGTCCACAGACACACTGAGCCAAACCTGCATCACACGGGAGGCATTAAAGGCATCACTGTGGGCCAGTACAAAAAAGGAAACAACACAAGAACAGCAGAAACAGGAGGAAGAACATGGGAAGTATGGTAGAGGTAACAGAATACCAGAGTCCATAACTGCAGAAAGTTTTGAAAAAGGTCTGTAATCTGTTTGCCTCAGTGCTTGTATGCTTGACAGGTGTTTGATGGTTATGTCTTCAAAGGCCCCACTATGGATAAATCTTCTTATGTAACAATGGGCGCTCACATGATGCTTAGTTTTGCTTTTTGGTTGTTTTTTTTTTTTTGGGGGGGGGGGGGGGTGGGGGGGGGGGCATGGGGTTGAATTGTTGCCAAGCTCTTGCAAAGAAGCCAAGCATGGAATATCTGCATGATGTTGTGCTGTCATGGTGGTTCGGCTGTGTGTTGGAAGGTGGAGACGAGGAGAAAAAGGCCTCTTTTTGTCAATGTCTCCCAGTATGTGGTGTCATCTGTTCCCTGGTCAGCTGAATGTGTCTGACATGTCCTTTGTTGATCCCTGCAGTAGTGTTTAGGCAGGCACATCCCATAGAAAGGAGGTATGGCTATGACCACACCCCCCTTTACTCCTGCCTTCATCAATGTGTTGTGTCAAAGTGATGACTCCTCAGACGTCTGTAGATGACGTGTGCTGTACTGGTCGAGAGGCCACAGTAATGGATATTTATCAACGCCAGACTGTGATGAGTATACGAGGTGTCTGTGTCGCCTCAGAGTCTTTATGTCCCTTGAAATTGAAAAGGTGGCTACTGTCCACCATCAAAAATAAAGTGATGGCTCGCTGCTGGTGGAGATATGGATGATGATGAACTTGGAATATTGAAGTACTGAACTGAGGTTGTGTTCCAGCTTCTGTTGCCCCACTGTGTCCCATGTGCACCAAAAACAGATATTAGTTGTTGCTGTGAAGGTCATCGTGTCTGCTTTCAGTTTCAATCAAGTCTGTATGAGTTTGTACAGTAAGGACACAAGGAGTACCTACCTGTAAGTTATTTTACTAACACAAAAGGAACAATATTCCAAACAACATTAAAAGATTCACATTCTGATCATAACTGTGACCAATCAAAATGTTACATATTTTTATCCGGAAGAAAAGAAAGTTGAAGAGAAACATAAATGTAACCGGGGTGCACCGATAAATCGGCCGGCCAATTTATCGGCCCAGATTTTCTTAAATTTGGGAAGTCGGCCGATACTTACACGAGAAACCGATTTTACAGATTTGTGTAGTTTTAACAACAATTGTCTGAACTTCATTTATATTTCAGAGCACTGCCTCATGGCCAGTTAAAACAAGTCTGTACTGTTTCTAGGATATTGATCAAGGGTCTGTTTTTCAAGAACATGAGACTTGAAAACTGAAGGTGCATCGTGACCTTATAACTCCTGACGGTGTTGATTATGAAACTAAATCAGAATGGGCAGGTCAGACTTTTCAGAAATCTGTGATTGGCCAGGAAACTGAAATCGGTGCACCCCTAAATGTAACTTATACAACTCAGTTTCCCCTAGATAACGTGCCATGGCGGGTGCTCATCTCGTATGTGATTTTTGCCGATGGGGGGGCGACAGAGACATGTCCTGAGCTGCACGTTGTTTGTACCGACAGTTTTTGAGCGGAGCGGGGTTTCAGCGTGAGGGAAGAGGCAGCTTGAGTGCTGCCTTTAACTTTTTAGCTAACTTATTGCTACGTCAGTGCTGACAGGGGGTGGAGGCAGTTTGGTTCAGTAGGCGGGGCATACAGTTCTGCTCACAGGGCGGGGCGATCTGCTTGTTAATGGTATGGGAAACACTGCAACTGTAATAACGTTCAACAAAGCCTGGTATAATGAAACTTTAACATGATCATGTTGCCCTGGTTGGATATGGTTCATTAACCACAGTGTGGTTGGAATTTAATCAAAGTTGCAGCAACAAATCTGTCTCAACTTGATTAAACTGCTAAACTTCTCTGAACTAGTGGTTCATGTTTTTTGAATAACCATACTTTAATATTAGGTCATAAACAACAATATTCACAATAAAATCAATTTAATAAATTCATTTTGCAATTTACATTTTCACCCCAAGGAATTTTGTAAAACCTGACGAATGAGGGTAAGTACAATTTCTATCAACACCAAGAGTTTGAAGCTACACTGCCTGGCCAAAAATAAAGTCTCCACCTGGATTTAACTAATGAAACAGGTCCGAGCCTCCGGTTGGATCATCACTGCACGGACGATTATGTTTCAGCTACAACAAGTTGTTAAACCCCAACTGGTGCGATGAGTTGCTTCTCATTTCTTCAACAACCATGTCAAAGACTCACGGCGTGGAAAAGATGTCCGTCTGTTGGAGAAGAGTCAAATCATTGGCATCAAGCAGAGAAACATCTCAGGAGATTGTAGAAACTAAAACTGGGTTAAGAACTGTCCAACACATTATTAAAAACTGGAAGGACAGTGGGGACCCATAGTCTTCCAGGAAGAAATGTGGCCGGAAATAAATCCTGAACGATCGTGATCGATGATCATTTAAACGTTTGGTGAAATCAAATGGAAGAAAAACACCAGCAGCACTCAGGGCTGTGGTTCATAGAGACAGGAAGAACATTTCCACACACACAATGTGAAGAACTCAAGGGACTGGGACTGAACAGCTGTGGAGCCTTAAGAAAACCACTAACCAGTGAGGCTAACTGGAAAAAAGGCTTCAATTTGCTAGGGAGCATAAAGATTGGACTCTGGAGCAATGGAAGAAGGTCATGTGGTCTGATGAGTCCGGATTGACCCTGTTCCAGAGTGATGGTGCATCAGGGTCAGAAGAGAGGCAGGTGAAGTGATGCACCATCAGGACCAGTGTCTCGTCAATGAAAGATCTTGGTGAAACATTAACGCAACACTGGATGAACTAGATTTTGTGACATTGAAGAAGTTTATTGAAACAAAGACACAGAATGCATGATGTGATCAAAGATACAGGTGCTCCAACCAAATATTAGTGTGACACCTTTTTTATTGGTGGTGACTTTTTATTTGGCCAGGCAGTGTATGTAATCTAGACACTATCAAGTGTTTTTGTAGCATATGGTTTACATTAAAGGTCTCATTAAAGTAGGGCTGCAACAATTAGTCAACATAAACGACAATGCCAACAAAAATTCAGACTAGAATTTGAACATAGGCTTTTTTTAATTAACCTTTGTTTAACAAGGCAAATCCAGCTCACAGATGTGTTTTTATAAGGGAGGCCTGGGCAAATCATATTTTAGGACGACAGGTTTTTTGTGATGCAAAGCACTGCATGAAGAACTGAGCCTTTGTGCATCTGTTCATTCCTAAAAGAACAACGTGGAGTGAACAACTGAATAACACACGCAAAAGAAAAGGAAGCTCGAAAAAAACTTTCAAAAATTGTAAATTATTTCACACAAAGGCAAACAAAAAAAGTTGACTGCAAACTAATAAATGCTCAGATTTCCACTGCGGCAGGTGTACAGACAAAAATGTTTAAAAGCAGCTCTCCTGGAGCTTTGGGTGATTGAGTTCCAGCAGCTGAAGTTAGGCAGGATCTCACTGGGCTGTCAGAACAGCTGGCGACTCAAACTGGGCCCAGTATTGTGAGAAAATGCAAACATTTTAGTCTCACTGAACTTTAGAGTGTTTGTGACCAAGTGACTAGCAAGCTGCTGAAAATGGTCCTTTTTATTGCATCATTTATATTTTGGGTGCACAGTTCACAAAACTTAGTCTAGGCTGTGCACATTATTTCCAGCTCACTTTGTACCCATCATGGCAGCCTCCCCAGTGTTTCTCATTTAATTAATTAACTCAGTGCTTTGTAACCATTTTGGATCAAAGAAACTGATTATCAACATACACTAATTATTATTATGGGATGTTGATATACGTTAACATATCTTACATAGGCTATGTTACACCCTAATAATATATATATTTTTTTAATCGACTACAGTAGGCCCTCACTTACCGCAGGGGTTACGTTCCAGGCACTCCTGCAATAAGTGAAAATATGCGAAGTAGGGACTTATATTTTAGTATTTATATATATATGAAGGCTTTTTAAACCCTTCCTACATTCTTGCAATGTTCTTAATGTTCTAAACTAAAGGAGCAGAGCATGACATGATCGCTGCCCACTTCTCTGTTGCACCTGTGCTTCTGAAGTACTCCCCAGTCTCTGCCTCCCTGCCAGACTGTCTGATCGCCTCGTGCCTCAAGGATCCAGCATTCTTGTTCCTAAAGGCTCAGTTCAGGCCACGCTTGATTTTTAATAAACAAACCATGCGGCTCACTCAGGTTTAGGACTTTCTGAGGAACAAGAAAGGAGGGGCAGGGGGCCTGCACTCAACCACACTCTTTAAAAAAACTTGATCATCTGACCTGCACTTGCATCTGGACCTGCCATTTGTGTCCGTCTCTCAAACCAGCCGGTCAAAGCAGATGGACGTTTGTCCTGAGCCTGGTTCTGCTGGAGGTTTCTTCCTGTTAAAGGGAGTTTTTCCTTTCCACTGTCGCCACTGTGCTTGCTCAGGAAGGAAGACTGTGACGAAGTGAAGATTCAACAAGTGTGCTGCTTCCTTAGATAGAGAACTTTACTAATGACCCTTTTGCACCGCTCCCACTCAGCCCTGTTCAGATCAGCCTGGATTTGCACCACACTTCAGGACAGGTTCTGGAGGCGTGTCCAGAATCCAAAATCCTGCTGACGAACTTTAGTTCACAGAGTGAGAGTTCTGTGATGCAGTTAAACTCAAAGCTGCTCCTCAGATAAATAATGTTCAATTATTATTTTATTGATGAATGTTTCTGTTCAGCCCTGAGACGACTTCAGTTGTGACTTGGAGCTTTAGAAATAAACTGAATTGACCTGTTCATTCATGCTCGATGGGGAAAGACGGACCCCACCCCATCCCCTCCTTTCTATTTCTGAGACGGTGTCTCTGCTCTGCTGTGACTGCCTCAGAAATAGAAAGGAGGGGGCAGGGTGGGGTCCGTCTTTCCCCATCGTCAATCGTGTAAAGTGGGTAAAGGGGGCAGCTGTGGCTGAATGGTTAGAGCAGTCGTCCTCCAATGCGACAGTTGGGGGTTGGAATCCACCAGCAGTCACATGCTGAAGTGTCCCTGGGCAAGACACTGAACACCTCATAGCCTCTGATGTGTGTCCTATCAGTGTATGAATGTGATAAAGCTCTGATTAGTCTCTTTAGAATGATTTGTTCAATTAGCTTTGTAGAGATCTAGTATAGAGCTGTATGAATGGGTCAATGAGGACACAGATTGTTGTAAAGTGCTTTGAGTATCTTGAAATAAGATAGGCACTATATAAGTACAGTCCATTTACCATTTAAAGTCTTACATTGAAAACCCGTGAAAGAGTGAGTCTGCAAAAGTCCAACCGCAAAGTATGGAGAGACTACCGTACTTGACTTTAGTCTGTATTATTTCATTAATGTTCACAATAGGGGTGTAACGGTACGCTAAAATCACATTTCAGTTCGGTTCACTTTCGGTACAAAAAAGGCCAAAATAAAGACAAAATGTTTATTTAGAAAATATACCAAGTAAACAAGTTCAGTCATTACAGACTTCTTAGCTGGAGGCGACCTGGTGGATGAAGAAGACTCAGCTGCTGTCATCCTCAGACTGCAAACAACACAGAGATATATATTAAAAAAAAAGAGTTAAGAATATAATTTTAAATTTAAAGTTAATTAGATCACAATAATACAATGACAATGTACCTCTTCTTGCACAGTCATCACACGAGGTGGTTGAATCTCTCGCTCATCATCATCCTCATCATCATCATCATCAGGGCAGGGCTTTAATCTGGTCCAGGGCTTGTTGATAATATCAGTTTGATCTTTTTCATAAAGTGCTGCTACATCTTTTCGGCTGATGTCGTAGCGGGGCTCAATAACTTTAAAGCCGGCGCATCAACAACAGAACACTGATGTAGATCCAGAGCTTTAAAAACTCCTACAGCTTGTGTTATTGATCTGGACCGATCTGAATGACCTGATAAAGGTTGTTTAAATGCTGCTGTAATCGGTCTTTGCAACAAACTAAGTTCACGTTGGGATGATGTCGTTTCGAGCTGTTAACAAGTTGGACGTGTTGCTGCTGCAGATCCAGTCTCCATGAAACAACGTCGACCCACAGCTTTGGATTTGTTCACTTGTCTTTGAACAAGAAACACAAAATGTTTCCGAACAGGAGACCACAACGACATGCTAGGCTGCTAATGCTGCGCGTGCAGCAGATAATAACGCTGTGCTGAAACACGCTTAGGAACTTTAGTTCCGCGGTGCATAATCTCTCGTTAATAAAATTTAATGAGTGAAAAAATAATTAAACAGTACGCACGTGGACCGACCCGAACGTGCCGTAGCGACGCGGTTCAATAGACCCACGTGTACCGTTACACCCCTAGTTCACAATAATTAATAGCTTTCATTCGTTTTAAAGTCATGTATTTTTCTGTGTTTTCATATGTTGCAGTAGGAACATGGATTACACTAGAAGCAGAAAGAACAGATGTTATTTACAGGTGAGCAGACCTGAGCAGGTGAGTTAGAGCCCACAACAGGGGGTGCACCCACAAGAAGCAAAGATGGATTTAAATATTTGTTGGGGGGTCGAAGAACAACAGAGTGGAATTCAGGTCTGGTTGTAATTTTACCAGAATGACTTTACACAAGCACTGCTTTAATACAACAGTGTGAATACTTCCATGAATGGAAAAGTAGTGTTCAAATAAAACATTAAAGACAAATCTCTGCTCGTCTCAACTGTGCACACTTAACCATTTTGTTTCATAATCTTTTGTTATCTATAACATTTTTTAGTAATAATTATTTGAATGAAAAGTAAATTTAGCAGATACTGCCATTTAGGACTTAATCTTTTTTGTACTTAACAAGTTTATTTGGAGTTTGTTACTTTTAAACCAATAGATAAGTTATTATAACAGTTCTTATTTGCAATGAAAATCAACACACAAATGTAGACTTGCATACAAATACAAATGTATTTGTATGTGTGGTAAACACTGGAGATTTTAAATGTAATTTACTGGAACTTTTAACCAGAATGTGTTTAGTTTAACAATGGTATAATGTCCTATTTACTCTAGGATAAAATCTCCACTATGTTTTAAGGACAGCGAACAGGTGTAGCATTCTGTTAACTGGATTAGTGGAGGCAGCAATGGGAGACTGTGCAGCTGTGACATGCTACAGGGAACGAGAAGCTAGGTGAAAAACAGTGCTTCACTTTCTACTGCCCTAAAGTGTGCTCGGTACTTTCCACATGCATGCGCCTGTAATGCAAGGCTGCTCCTCATGCCCTTCCCTTGCACCTGCCGTGTGGTGAAACAATGCACTGGTGTAGCAGAAATACTGCCCGAGAACACCAAGCTGCACGGAGAAGCAGTGTGTGGTCAAGGCAATACCTCTGGAGGCAAAGAACCCCAACCACCCCGTACAGTGGCAAAAGATGAGAAAAGAAAACAAACAAAAACTAACGGAAATGTTACCTTGACCACTCAGGTTTGTGTAGTCCCATGTGTCCTGGTCATTCTTAAAAACATTAAGGCGTGCCGGCTGTTGAGAGAAAAAAGCAAAGATTAAATACACACGGCACATTACACTTTAATGCAGCATATTCTTTTCATTACACAGCCATCATCAACGTAAATGGACTGAACTTAGAAATCCAGCGTTCCATCTGGTCCACACTCGAAGCTCTTTACAACTCTGAGCCTCATGTACCCGTTCAGCTCTCTACTGGATCTGTACAAGGATAATCAGAGCTCAGGTCTCCCTCAAACACCGACGGGACACACATCGGAGGCAACGAGGGGTTCGGCATGACCTGGTGGAATCAAACCCCCAACTCTCCCGTTGGAGAATGACTGCTCTACCCTCTCAGCCACAGCCGCCCCAAAACTATTCACGTACAGTGATACAGTGATCTATAGCGAGACAAGCCCGGACCAGAGAAGTCCTTGTAATAACGTTTGACCTTGGTCTGTGACCTTGATGGACATGCACGTTTTAAGGTACAGTCTCCGTACACAGATGAACCGTGTCAGGTGCTTGACAGGCGTGTAGAAATGTGTTTTAATCAAACTTTAAGCTAAACCAGCGTGTTCTTGAGTGTTGAAAGCCGGGCTCAGGTTTCTGAAGCAGACCGTGTCGGACTAGCTTCAGCTCTGCCATCACATGAACGATGACATGAGGCTTCATGGTCACAATGAAACATGAGGAATGTGCTGGCACGCTAACATTTTTACATGGCTCCGTTTGTTAGCGACAGATGCAAACTGCTCAGCACAATCACAGCCCTTCAGAATCCATCCAAAACAAGTGCTACGTGTTGAATTCAAGTCTAGGGGCTGAAGAGACCAATCGATTGTAGGACATGTGGAGACTTTTTCAGTTTCACATCAACTATTCAGTCAGTGATTGTATCAGGTGATCAGCGCTGGGCCCTGGCTACACAGCACAGAGATGCACCAGCAGTGTGGAAGTGCGTCACTAAAGACGACCCTTCCAGTTCAACTGCATCCCATCACCGCCCGCCCCGCTCCTCGTATTTAATCCACTAAATAAAGTACAAGTAAAAACAGGGGGCGCACCACCACCACCATGGGCTATTTAGTGGATTCATTAAAAAACAACTTTTGTAGCTTAATACTTTTGGTTTTCTTGTGACTTATTTGCAGTATAATGGTAAATAAAGTAAATAACGTAATGTAAATATATGCTCCCCATGTTTTGTTCTTTTGTGTAAATATTAAATGGTGTTTTTGTGAATAGCGTCTTGAGTTGCTATGACGACGTCCCACCGACTAGTCGACGTTAAAAAACATGCAGTCGTTCAACCCCTAGTTTTGACATCATGGCACATTAAATCCTGTTCTAATGATGAACATTAGTAAAAAGATGTGATGATCCAAACCAAAGGGGTCCTTATGATCACCCCCACCGTACATGGTGCTACCACTGACCTGCACTTACAAACCTTCAGTCACATCAACAAAGCACTGCTCTGTAAACTCCTGCCATTTCAATCCAAATCAGGTTTCCAGTAAACATAAGTAATAACAGGACATGTTTAAAGCATTTTATTAAAAACTGCCATTTGAAATTGGTCCCTGTGTGGACCAGGGGTGTTTTAGGGTCTTGAAACATTGGGGGCTTTAGTCCAGACCCCTTATTCATCATCTTCCCAATTTAAAAAGTGCCCTTCGAGTCTGTATCTATCAATTTTTCAGAATATTATTGTTATATTTGGTTTATTTATCATACACAGTCACAACTCATTTCTGTCGGCAGTGGAAAATAACATTTACATCCCAGGCCACCACCAGATTAATGCAAACCACCAAGACGGAGTTACAATGTGTGCCCTTTGACCCCGTGCACGTGCTTGTTCAGCAACGTGCTGGTCACTGGTGTCAGAAGCATTTGTAATGTGGGGAGGGGGGACACACTTGTGGGGGGGGGTCTGGGGGTCCTCCCTCTGAAAATTTTGAGTAAAGTAGCTGCCACTTCCTGCATTCTGGTGAACTTGACAGGTTGTTCAACATCTATTTTACCTACACAAGTAACACTTGATTCAATAAGCTCGACCTCGAACGGCCTTTAAACAACTGCTACGTTCATGGTGCCTGTTTTTAGTATTTTATATCACTTTATAATGTAGCTGACTGTTTTGTTTTTTAATATAATCTCTTCCATTTACTTTTCATTTTACCGGTGAATGTTTTTATGATTGTCTGCTGTTTGTCATCTGTGTTCTTTGTTTAAATCAGGTCTCTCTTGTTAATGAGTCCTTGAGGCTCAAAGAGACTAAACTGTTTAAATAAAGGTTGAATTTAAACAACTATTTTAGAGTTGATGGCACAACAATATGTAACCTGACCAACAGCTCTCCTTGTGTGAATAGAGCACGCTCCACTTCTCTCACACATTCTAGTCACAGTCTAAGAAACACAGAGTAGCTTAAGTTAACTTTTAGGAAAAACATCACTAGCCAATAAGACAATATAAAAACAATCACAACTTCTTACTAATGGCCTAGCATAAATCAATATGATCATCATCCATCGTGTTTATTAGTAGCTTAAAATACTTAATTAAAACTCCAGTAGTGGGCTAGGTGTACGGTGATGTTACCCAGTTGTGGGGTCCAGAGACAAACATGTAGCATCAACACAATATGAACTACATTCAGGAATTGTTTCTAGAAGAACACGATCAAATATTTTACATGACCAGTAAGATGGCTCTGTGCAGGAGGAAATGTAACTCATGGTGAGATAACCTCGGACTAACTAACATGTGTGTAATGTGGAGGTGGTGAAGCTCAGGGTTACTTTTAGTCAAGCATTTCTGTCTTATCAGCCAACATTAAAGCAAAGAAGACAGAATAATAAATTATAATCTACTAATAACTTCAAATAGTTACTGCAGTGGATGTTTTCATGCCACAGAGCGACAGGACAAGAACTCGCAGTGAAATTCAGTTTGTAAGTTACACAACCTGTTCAGCACTTGGTACAAATCAGTTTAGTGTCAACTGATCGTGAACAGACTAAACTTGTACAACCAGAAGTTGCAACACATAAAACACAACTAGCATTAACCCTTCATTTAACCATTAATCATGTAACTATGACAAATAATGCAGGACTTCCCTGCACTAACCTTCGTACAGACCAACATGCACTTCCTGTTCATAACTGCCACGTTGGCCGCTTGCCTTTATCTTATTTTACTTTTTTTCAAACTGTTTAGTTTTGAAATGGAATAAACTGTCTCCACCCTCTGGGTGACACATGTCTGAATTACACGTCACATTTCCATCTATTCCTTTTCACTAATTATGTAACAACAAACATGTTCTTCATCTCAACGGGACTTTACCGGGTAAAATCAAGGTTAAATAAAATATCCCAAGGATTTTAATGATCAGATAAATTATTAGTGGAGTTTAAGAAGGGTACATAAAATCTGAATTCCTGGACATTTCAGCATTAAACTTTTTCAGATCCTATTTGTGACCCATATTGTAAGGTTTGTAATGTCCTCAGTAAAAAGTGAAAACATTTGTCAGGTTTGGCCACTGAAGCTGTGCGGACGGCAGCTTTCACCAAAGTGTTTCTGTCTCGTCCAACAAAGTTCAGCCAGGTCCTCTGGACACTTTCTACTTCCAGAACTCGTCCAGAGGACCTGGCTGAACTTTGTTGGATTTTCTACCTGGACTGCTGAACATTAATCAGATGTTTCTGTTTTACCTGCTCCATGACAAACAAAGAATAATTCACTGCACTTTGCTGCATCAGCCCCAGAGCTTCATTTGTCATCCGCTCTGCTGCACCTTTGTCTCCGTCTCTCTCGGTCCATTCTACAACATTTAAGATCCAAACCAGAGCAATGTACAGACATGCGCACCAGTCCACGAAGGCGAGCGCACGATCTGTGCATCTCCTCTGCTGACAGAGCCTGAGAGAGAGAGGCGGGGGGCAGGGAGCTCAGTGAGACCCGAGTGAGCCGGGTGTTACACCGGGGCAAGAGCGGCTCTTAATTTACACAATCAAGCCTTTAGTCCAGTCGATCAACAGAACCTGAGCAAGACCAGGCAACCAGGAAATGTCCCGGCGCTCCCGATGGCCAGTCCGCCCCTGCGGGGAGCTCGTTTTGATCCGGGGCTTTAGCCCCAGAGGCCCTGGTCCGACGACGCGCCTGGTGTGGACAATGACCCACTTGAGACACCATTTATTTTGCTTTGGAACTGGAGTTCATCAAGAAATGTGAATGTTTGGGAGCATCTTTGGAGCTTTAAAGCTTCAAATCTTTCCGTCACAAACAGGGAAAGGCCTCTAAAGTAGGAGTGCACCAGATTTCAGCCCCAATTTCCTCAAATTTGGGAGATCTGAGATCGTCCGATACACGAGAAACAGATTTGACAGATTGTTTTAACAACAAGTGTCGGACCTTCACGTATATTTCAGAGCACTACCTCATGGCCAGTTAAAACCAGCTTGTATTGTTTCCAGGATATTGTTCAAGGGTGTTTTTCAATCAAATAAGATTAGAAAGTTGAAGGTGCGTCGTGACCGTAGAACATCTGACAGTGTTGATTATGAAACTAAATCAGTATGGCTGAAATCAGAAGCAGCAAGTCAGACTTTTCATCTGTGACGGGTCAGAAACTGCAGCCGGTCCTACTCTAAGGCTTCACAACATCGTTCCTCTGTCCAGCTACAATATTCAGACACTGCATGCAGAGATACATATGTGCACACCCACTCACTCACCTTGGCATATTCAATCTTCAGGGAGCAACAGCCAGAATAGATGTCTGCTCCATTCAAAGAGGCTTTTGCCCTCTGAGCACTTTGAACTGTATCAAATGTGGCACCACAAAGTTAAGGTCCAAGATGAGATTATCTGAGGTTTCAAGCAAAATGTGCATGTTACTCAGTCACATGATGCAAGAACACGTCAAGGAAACCATCTGAAAAGGATATTCCACCATGGCCTGAACACCATTCTTCCTGAAGATGACAATCCTCTGCACAGGACCACAGTTGTTACAGATGGTGTACAGCACATCCTGGGGACAAAGATTCAGTTTTACTGTTAAGCATCACCTTCAAAACTACGACACAAAAGTCTTGCCTCACACCCCGTTTGTTGACTTTTAGTTTCTATTCTACAAAAACAGAAAATTATTGGTAAAAGCGTTTCACTCTATTCAACAGAATTAACATAAAACATTTTAGTTTTGGCTCGTTGCACAACTTGACATAAGATGGAACTTTATTGATCCTGCAGGAAGGGGAGGAGTTAAACAGTTTGAAGGACTTCCTGTGTTGTTCTGTGGAGCACCTCGTGGTCTCAGTCTGACTGAAGGTGCTGCGGTCAGAGTCCAGGGTGTCCTGCAGGGGGGGTGACGTTCAGGATCTGGAGCAGGTTCCTCAGCATCCTCTGCTCAGACTCCTCCATCAGAGGCTGCAGGTCCACTCCCAGAACTGAACCAGCTCTTCATGAGTTTATCCAGTGTGTTGGCATCAGCTTTCTTCACCCTGCTGCTCCAGAACACCACAGAGTAGAAGAAGATGCTGGAGACCACCGAGTGGTAAAACATCTGCAGCATGGTCCTACAGATGTTCAAGGACCTGAGTCTCCTCAGAAGAAAAAGGCGACTCTGCTCTTTCTTGTAGAGGATGTTGGAGTCAGGGGTCCTGGAGGTGGACCCCAGGTACTTGTTGCAGTCCAGTGTCCACCTCAGCATAAGGTGACCAGATATCTGACATTAAATCTGGGGTCATTTCCAGCTCGGAGACAAAAAATAAAATGTTATCAAGCTTAAATTAAAAATGGGGACATCTACAATTTCATTTATTTTTTCCATATTTATTCACATTTAAACAACAAAAATCAAATGTAGCAGCAGGAATGTATCAACACACATTTCCCAAGAGTAATAAAACAAATTACTTTAGTAGTATTAGTAATGGTGTCAGAAACATTTGTAATATGGGTCTGGGGGTCCCCCAGAAAACTTTGAATAAAGTAGATGCCATTTCCTGCATTCTGGTGTAATTAACGGTTGTTACGTAGTTTACCTCCATAAGTAAACACTTGTCCAAGGACGAGTTCATCGTGACGATTAACATCACCAGAAATAGTCATGAAGGCATCAGGGTGCAGAGACTGGAGTCTGACCGTGGTGGAGATGATGATGTCATCAGTCCGCGACACTTCAGCAGTTGGAGGAATGTAAACACAGATATTTATGACGAGTGGAAACTCATGTGGGAGATGACATGGTCCGAGACCGATTGCCATCAGTTCGATGTCCGGGCTGCAGACACGCTCCTTCACTGTCATGTGTTGGGGGTTGCACCATTTGCTGTTGACATAAATCGCGACCCCCGCCAGCTACATTCACTGCAGAGTCTGGAATATTGTTACACAGCCAAGTCTCCGTGAAACACACCAATGAAGCCTCCCGAAACAAAGGCTGGCTCCTCACGAGCGCCGTTACTTGATCCATCTCATGTACCAGCGAGCGGACGTTCCCCGTAATAATAAAAGGAAGGTCGCGTTGAACTTCCTCTCATCCTGCTCTGCATCCACAATACGTCCTTCTTAGCTCTTGGGGGATTTCATGTTGTTGTCCAAAGGTTCCGCTGTGTTGGAGACCAATCAGCTGTTCCCTGGTGTAAACAATAGCGCCCTGCGTGCATCCAGAAGGATGGGGGGGGGGTGTCAAGATAAAAGTGATAAAAAGTACTCCAACAAGGATAAACAGGACAAAAAGTACCTAAAAACAGTTGCACACTTGTGCTTCCCACTGAACCCACACTCTGCAGTTCAGTTTGAAAAGGCTAAAATGAAAAAGTGAATAAAGAAGAAGGTCAGAAACTCTGGCAGGCAGCCGCTCTCAGCAGCGCACACGCGCCCACAACATGTGGACAACACCCCCACAACATGTGGACAACACCCCCACGTGCGCCCACAACATGTGGACAACACCCCCACACGCGCCCACAACATGTGGACAACACCCCCACAACATGTGGACAACACCCCCACGTGCGCCCACAACATGTGGACAACACCCCAACACGTGCGCCCACAACATGTGGACAACACCCCCTAATATTCAACACAGGAATGCCTTTCTTCACAGGTAAAGTGTTGCTGACGATTCTCTGGAGGGCTCTCGTGAACATGACAGCTGGGGGGGTTGTTTACTGCAGCCAGAGGAAGAAGCTCATGTCATCAGCTAATATCCAGCCAGTTCAGTGAAATATGCACGAGCCTTGCCACAAAATACATTTATGAACGCGTCAAAGTCTCTTCACATCTTTGTTTTGTTAGTCATTTTCCAACTGGGTGTCACAGAGTGTTTACTGGAAAGCCACTGAAATATCACGAGATTAAACATCATCTACACTGGGGGAAAACAAACCATTCCCATAAAATTAATTTACTGCCATCTCACAAAAGGAAAGTGGTGAATTTCCATTAAATAAATCAGCTGTTCAGCTCAACAGCAGCTGGTTTATGAAGAGATGTGGGCTCAGGTTTAAATACTCAAAACGTTGATTTCTAGGAACTATTCTAACATTTCCATTTCCTCCAAGTTCATAGATAAACGGTTTTATTTAGATGTTAGGACACTTGGACATATAAAAAACTATAGATTTAATTTACATTCAATTCAGTAAAGAAACTAACTGAAATGATGCTGAAGTGCAGGGCCATTCAACTGGTGGCCCGCGGGCCATTTCCAGTCCGTGGGTGACTTCAGTCTGGCCAACCAATGACTTCTTCTTTTTTGTTTTTAATATGAAGTCACTGGTGGGCCGGACTGGAGTCACTGGCCGCCAGTTGAACGGCCCTGCTCTAAAGATCAACAGGGTATAGAAAATGAATAGCTGAAAATGGATAGTTGGAAAAAATATATATATATTTTTGCTGGGGGGGGGGGGGGGGTTCTGTTTATTGCATTTATTTCAATGCAACAAAGTAATTTAAAATGTACCAGATAAACACTTATCACACATGTCACACAGTTTTAAATACACGTCACACAGTTTTAAATACACGTCACACACAGTTTTAAATACATGTCACACACAGTTTTAAATACACGTCACACACAGTTTTAATGTAGTTACCACAGAGCTGAAGAAGAAAACCATTACCGTAGTGATTGGATAGATGGGGTTTAGGACTGTGAGCAGCAGCACACTGTTCACGCTCCTCGTGTCGTCTGAATCTCCTGGCCGAGAAATCTTTTGACTAGTGGAGTAATTAATAAAGGCAGGGTGGCCAGCAACAAAAACCTGGTTTTCAGCTGCGAATGTAACAGCGTTGCAGGAGCCATTCAGGTCCTCGTACTCCACCAGGGCCTGGCGCTTTTTGGGCATCATAACAACATAACTGCACAGAAAAAAGGTCAAGACTTAGTTTTTCCTGCGCGCTGACGACCTTTCACCTGTACTTGTTTCACAGTTTGTCCAAAACCTACCGTGTTGCTGCCCTAAATAAAATCCTGTTTATCACCTTAAACATCTGGAATGCTCACTCTGCTTCACTGTAAACTACATGTGAGTTTGAAAGATGAGCAAAGTATTGCATGGGTTTTCCATTACATTCTACACTGCTGGATTTGGGATTGTGCCATTTCCAATGTTCGGAGCTTGAAGCAACAAGAGAAAACGGGGCTTGTTGCTCTGGTTTGGTCACGAGGTCGAACATAAACGGCTGAAGTGGGAAATGTGCTTTCAGCTGCTCGTACCTGATGGTCCCGTACTCCTGCAGGGCCTCCACTATGTCGGCCTCCATGACACCGTCCGCCAGCCCCCGCATATGAACCACGGGGGAGGGCACAGGTTTGTAACTTTCCTACAGAACACACAACATGAAGCTGGCAGAACTGCACGTGTTGAAACTAATGTCAAAAACAGCAAGTGACTCTTCTTTCGTTGAACAATTACTTTACTGCTTCGAACTCAAACAAACAACCAGCGCGCGCTCGTTTGTAAATAAACAGTTACCACATCCAAACGCAACAGAAGCTAAAGCTAACTAGCGTCTACGTTTTAGCCAAGCCCCACATTATTACCTTCTCCGCACACATTTCTGGTATTATTAAACAAAGAACAGCATATATTGGTTCTCTTTTACAAGTCCTTCACGGGCGTTGGAGACATTCTCACCGTTGTCATTCCTCCGTCTGCAGTTTTCTGTCTTTTGGTTGCTCTGCCACCTTCTCCGTAGTGTCGGGACGCAGTGGCAGCCATGTTGTCTTGTTCCCTTTTCCGGTCTAGTGATGCGTTTCAGTGGCGTGGGAAAACTCGCACTTAGTGCGTGGACGAGAGCAACCTTTCAATTTGCATCATTCACAAACAAGCGCTTTAAAATCGAATTTTATAATTCATATAGAAATTAAATAATTGCTCATCTGTGCCTGTCACTGCAGAATATCCTCTGATAAGTCATAGTCATCACAATAGTCCTGATACATTGATGGGCGGCTGTGACTCAGTGGTTAGCAGTCGTCCTCCTGTTCAAGAGTTGGGGGTTCGAATCCACCTGCAGTCACATGTCATAGTGTCCATGGGCAAGACGCTGAACCCCTCATTGCCTCTGATGTGTGTTCCATCAGTGTCTGAATGTGATAAAGCTCTGATTAGTCTCTTTAGAATGATTTGTTCAATTAGCTTTGTAGAGATCTAGTAGAGTGCTGTATGAATGAGGCGCAGATTGTTGTAAAGAGCTTTGTGTATCTCAATAAGATATAAAGGTACTATAAGTACAGTCCATATAGTGTATTTGATTTCACTTTTTACCATCATTGAAAAGAAACTTTAATTTACCTTAATGGTCAGTGAATGCAACATGACCTCATCAAATAGTAAAACAGGTTGCTATTGGTTACAAGGACTCTTCTCATTTGTGTAATTAAAAAAAACTTTATTGAACATAAGAACACAGGAACACAAGAACAAAATAACAAGTGACAATCTCAAATTACAATGATACATAAAAACATGTAAAATATCTTCTGTCATACGTCCTAAGGTCAACAAATGCTTAAACAAATTAACATATTAACCATCAGCCTTGCCAAGATGGCCGCGCTCAGAGCAGTTGCAGCTTCACAGGCTCCCGGTACCATCCCAGTTTTTAGAAGTTTTGATATTGACTCTGTGCCTGACTCCACACGATTTACGCGTGTGAACTATAGCCGAACCGAATTGATGAGAATAGGAGCAGATTTGTCACAAAATATAGCAGAAATCAGCAACAAACTCAAAACTACGCTCGGCAGAATGCAGATTTTAAAGTCATCTACCTGGAAGCTGCAGCAGAGGCGCTCCAATGGGCAGAAGAGGAAGCGCTGCTCCCGGCTTATGAAGTGAGGACGCCGGGCAGTGGTTCTGGTGAGGATACGAGCTAACGCTAAATCCGGAATACTCCCGATGCCGTCTCTCTTTCTGTCGAACATCCGCTCGTTGGACAACAAGATGGATTTGCTTCGTCTGAGAGCGGGCGCCTCAGAAAAGATGATGAAGTGTGCGGTGCTTTGCCTCACAGAAACATGGACTACAAGCGAAACGCCGGATACAGTCTTCCAGATGGATGACAGACTTTTTTTCGTGCATTCCGCTGCAGCAAGCTAACGGGGAAATCACGGGGAGATGGAGTGTGCATTTACATGATAGCCGGAGAATTTAATTACGTGAATCTAAAGGACTGTCTCCCAAGTTTTTACCAGCATGTGGGCATACCAACACGTGAAAACAACACACTGGACCATGTTTACACGAACACAAAAGATGCACACAAAGCCGAACCCCGCCCCACCTAGGACTGTCAGATCACATCTCAATCTTAATGGCTCCTGCTTACCTCCCCTAGCTGAGACGCTCCAGACCGGTACAAAAGAAAGTTAAATGCTGGATCCAGGACAGTGGACCCATACTGAGAGATTGTTTTGAACAAACAGACTGGCAGGTTTTCAGAGAAGCTGCTGAAAATGGAGGATCGCTTGATCTGGACCAATACACATCCTCAGTTCTGGGTTACATTAGTACATGTACTGACACCGTCTCCACTATCAGAAATGTTAAAAGCTACCCAAACAGAAAACCTTGGCTGAATGCAGAGGTGCGCACCCTGCTGGAAGCCAGGAACACTGCCTTCAGGTCTGGAAACTCAGAGGAGCTGAGTAGGACAAGGAAAGAGCTGTTTTCTGGTATTAAGAAGGCCACGGCCACATATGCACCGAGGATCGAGGGTCAATTGAACTGTGCTGGCACCATTCCTCTTCACCCTCTACACTACAGACTTCACCATCGACTCCCCACACTGCCATCTGCAACAGTTCTCTGGCTCTGCCACAGTCGGCCTCATCACAGGTGAGGACCACTCAGAGTACAGACAGCGGACTCAAGACTTTGTGGACTGGTGCCAGCAGGACCACCTCCTGATCAACGCTGCTAAAACTAAGGAGCTGGTTGTGGATTTCCGCAGGCACAGACCCACCTCAATGACCTCGGTGAACATCCAGGGTGTGAACATCGCGATTGTGGACTCTTACAAGTACCTGGGTGTTCACCTGAACAATAAACTGGACTGGTCTCACAACACTGATACACTTTACAGGAAGGGTCAGAGCAGACTCTACCTGCTGAGGAGACTGAGATCTTTTGGAGTGCAGGGGGTGCTCCTGAAGACCTTCTTTGACTCGGTAGTGGCATCAGCCATCTTCTATGGTGTTGTGTGTTGGAGCAGCAGCGTATCATCAGCTGAGAAGAAGCAGCTAGATAAGCTCATCAAGAAGACCAGCTCTGTGCTTGGACGCCCCCTCAACCCAGTGCAGGTGGTGGGAGACAGAAGGACTCCAGCTAAAATCACATCATTGCTGGACAACGTCCCTCACCCCATGAAGCTGCTGCTGAACTGGAGAGCTCGTTCAGTGACAGGTTCCTGCTCCTAAATGCACAAAGGAGCGTCACCGCAGGTCCTTCCTCCAGCAGGTCCTTCCTCCAGCAGCTGTTAGACTCTACAACCATCACTGCTCCAACAAACTCAACAAGGATTAAATACATGCTGACCTCTGCTGAAACACACACTCTGCCTGTAACACTGTGCTGTCAATACTCTGTCCTTATCAATGTTCCAATACATATTGAACGTTATTAGTGACATTGTTTATCTTATTTCTTATATATTGTGTTGTTTATTAACATTTAGGAACTTTTGTGTGAAATCCTTAAATCTTTTAATCTGTTGCTGCTGATACACTGGAATGTCCCATCCGTGGGACAATAAAGGCTTTTTCTATTCTATTCTATTCTATTCTATTCTATTCTATTCTATTCTATTCTAATTCATCTCACAAGACCCTCGGAGCATGTGGAGGGGCATTAAGTGCATAACAGATTATAAAGGAAGGAGTGAACAATGCCCCAAAGACCCATCTCTGCCTGATGCCCTCAACAAGTTCTACGCACGCTTTGAAGACCCGAACAGACCACCCGGCACCAGACTCACCTCACCACTGGATGGAGAACATCTCAGCATGACTTCCTCAGCAGAAGTAAGGAGTACTTTCAGGCGGAGTAATCCGAACAAGGCAACCGGCCCAGACAACATCCCCGGAAAAGTGTTGAAGGAATGTGCCGATCAGCTCTGCGAGGTGCTGGCAGACATCTTTAACACCTCACTTACCCTGGAGACAGTTCCCACCTGCCTGAAGACTGCCACCATCATCCCAGTCCCAAAAAGCTCTACAGTGACTGGTCTGAATGATTATCAGCCAGTGGCACTCACCCCGATAGTCGCTAAATGCTTCGAAAAATGACCCACATCTAAACAACTATCAACATCAACGAGGACCCTGATCAGTACGCATACCGTGAGAACCGATCAACAGAGGATGCCATCTCCTCTGTGGTCCACACTGTGCTCAACCACCTGGAGCAGAAAGACTCTTACGCCTATATGCTCTTTGTGGACTTCACATCCGCCTTCAACACCAACAATGTTTCAACAAACATTTTGTTGCTTCTAGTTCTTTATTTGACACAGTCACTAATGGAAAATCAGCCACTTCACTTAATAACCAAACTTCTACAAATCACATCCCTCCTACAAGTCAATCCTCAGTTAATCACAGCTTCTCTTTTTCTCCATTCTCAGTCAGTGAGGTCAATAAACTGTTAAAAGATCTTGATCCTAAAAAATCTGCAGGTCCAGATGAACTTCCACCTTATTTCTTAAGGCTGGCTGCTCATATCATCACAGTCCCTGTGACCCACATCTTCAATCTCTCCATAAGACAAAACTCCATCCAGACACTTGAAAACAGCCTTTGTTCTTCTTTGCTGAAGGGAGGAGACCCCCCCTCACTGAACAACTATGGACCAATCTCTAAACTCTACATTTTAGCCAAGGTTCTAGAAAAACTGATAAACTCTCAAATCAAAAATTACCTGGACCTTTTTAACATCTTACCTCCACATCAATCTGGTTTCAGGAAACAACACAGCACAACCACTGCTTCACTGAAGGTTCTTAATGACGTTGTTGAAGCACTGGATGCTAAGGATTATTGTGCTGCACTTTTCTTAGACCTGTCTAAAGATTCTGACACCGTGGATCAGAACATCTTGTGTCATAAACTCTCAGAAACTGGTTTCTCAGAACACACCATGGGTTGGTTCTCTAACTATCTTTCAGACCGGAGGCAATGTGTTCAACATAATGGTACTTCCTCCAGTTATTTAACAGTCAACAATGGTGTACCACAAGGCTCAGTCTTAGGACCCACCCTCTTTACAATCTACATGTGTAATGTAGGTAAAAACATCCCTGATGCATCCATACACTTCTATGCTGATGACACAGTTGTTTATTGTCGAGCTAAAACTGTTGCTAAGGCTTTCCAGCTTTTGAAATCTGCATTCAACATCATCCAGTCAGATTTGTTTCGCCTCAAACTTGTCCTAAATGCTGACAAAACCAAAGGGATGTTTTTTTTTCAAATAGGAAGTTGGTCCCAGCAGTTCTTCCTCCCATTTTATCCTCAAATGGTGTCCCCATTGAGTTTGTTGATTCCTATAAATATTTGAGTATCTTGGTCGACTCACATCTCTCTTTTAAGCTCCACGTGGAAAACTTGGTAAAGAAACTGAAAGTTAAACTGGGTTTCTTTTTCAGAAACAGATCCTGTCTAACCCTGAATGCTAGAAAACGCCTTGTATCTGTGACTTTCCTTCCCTCAATTGATTACGGTGACATTATTTACATGAACGCTCCTACAAG